TTTCCATCAGAGATAAGTTTTCCTGATATTTTTATGAACTTTTTATAGTATTCTCCCATATAACCCAAGAATGCAGAGGAGGGGGATGAACCATCATGGAAGGACAAACCCCTCACGACATGTACCACCGACAGATTGAAGAAGTGGCCGACATCAAGAAATCCTACCAGTGGCTGTAAAAGGCTGGACTGAAAGAAGCACAGAAGCACTAATCATGGCAGCACAAGCACAGGCACACAGCGGCCTACCACACCAGACAGGACCCCAGGTACAGGCTGTGCAAAGATGCTCCTGAGACAGTTCAGCCCATAATAGCAGGGTAGATGCAGACAGGAACAGTGTACGTGGAACGCCATAACCAAGTGGCTGGCATAGTAAACAGGAACATCTGCCCTGAGTATGGGCTGGAAGTCCCAAGGTCAGAATGGAAGACACCTCCTAAGGTGGTTGAGAATGACCAAGCTAAGATCCTGTGGGACTTCCAGATCCAGACTGACAAACTGCTGATGGCTAACCAACCAGACATGGTGTTGACTGACACACATAAGAAGGTGGTGGTGATAGATGCAGCAGCTAGGAGCTGGGAGGAGCTATGAAAGAGTGGGGAGTAAAGGCAACAGTGGTGCCAGTGGTAATCCGAGCATTTGGGACTGTGACCCCAAACTGGGAGAGTGGCTCCAGCAGATTCCAGGTACAACATTTGAGGTCTCTGTCCAGAAGAGCGCAGTCCCAGGAACGGCTAAGATACTGCACAGAACCCTCAAACTAACAGGCCTCTGTTTATTTTATTTCATACATAGTGATAAGAGTTTTGTTCTCCTGATGCCTGCCTGGCTATTGCTCTCTTTAGTATTAAGCTGTTTTAACTGTGTATTTAACTGTGCATTTTTCTAATGCAGGATGAGGCTATTTAGCAGAGAGTAAAGGCTCTGTGAATATAGCTTATGTTCAGGTCTTCATTATGTCCTTATCTTGTTGGATCTTTTTTTTTTTTCAATTTTTATCATAATAATGATTTAACCTTTACTATTGTAACAATTTCTTTTAGTTTTCTTTACAGAAATGAATGAAATGTTGAGCTGTAGGACTACTGAAGGCCCTCCCGACCACTGTGAAGATGTCGGTGAAGATTGTCAGTCATCCAGGTGATGGTAATCTTAAGTGCTATATTGTAAGCAACTGGACTTGCTTGAGTTTCTTGAAGATGAGAGGTTTCTTCAGTTTTAGCAGACTGTCTTCAATTCTAATGCACCAGTCTGTTAGAACTCAAGAAGCCTCTTGGATGAGAGGCAAAACTTCTTCAAGAAACTCAAGCAAGTCCAGTTGTCTATGATATTAGCACTAAAGACCCTGTGAAGCTTTGGCGACCTCCAGTGAGGTTTGGGACCCCAAGGTTGGGGACAGGTGGCTTAAAGCATGTTTCACCTTTGGTTGTTTTTCTTTGTCTGTTTTATTTTGCTTTGTTTGTATGGGTGTTGTTAAATTACAAGTCATCATGCTCAATTGTACCTTTTACCACCACACCCTCACTCCCTATATGAACTTTCCTTAGGTATGAACAATCGAATGATGTGAAACATTAAGAAAACCGCCTTCTTGTAGCCACCCTTTCCATTGTTGAGTGCTAAACAAAGAAACAACCATAAGTTAACATAAGGACTTTTTTACCTTTCTAACTTTATTTCATAATTATATTCATTTTTAATTTCCTTTTTTTATGTTCAATCCGTTTGTATTGCCTTCACCTTAGATTCCTAGTGTAGGTTTAATAAGGAGGTATGTCAAGACTGTGGATTTATTCAATGATGACCTGATTTACTCTGTTAATTCAAAAGACATCGAGAGCTTGACCATGATTACGCTGTTGCATCTTCACATTTGCCATAAAATATTTATTGGCATTGTTCACAATATCAGCAGAGTTTAGAAAGGTCATTCATGCCTGGAGGAATTACATCTCCCATCCAGCTTGGGGGACCTTGGACATCTTGTCTGGAGGTTAAGGGAAAGGAAATCTGAGCTCCTTTGCTTGGTCTGCATCCGCCTTACTTTTTATACAGGCTCATATGATGCTGCGAGATTGTGCAATAGATCTGATCCACTAGAGGTCATCATTTGCTGACTATCAGCACCACATGTCCTACCTGTCCAAGAAATAGTCTTTTCACAATGATGCGCGTCTCTTAATGTGGAGTCGATACAACTCAAATTAAGTCACACAATATTGCACACTGATATCTACAATGCCAGTGCTCAGAGTAGCTGTGTTGTGGTGCACATTTCATCCACATTAGTGTGTCAAGGAGTGGTCTGGTGCAGGCTCAAACTGAGAACTACCATCTGTAGTCTCTCCTACGCTGCTGTTAACTGGCTGAACATTCAGTCTACATATAAATTTTATGGCTGAGGCCTTGTGCCTTTTGGTTTATGACAGTCACTGTCAGTTACTGCTTCGACATGACAAAAATGGACAGCTATAAATTATATTTCATGCACAGTGAAACAAATGTAAGGATGTGCAATTTACATCCTTTCAGCACAATATAATAAACTGTGTAGGTGAGACTGTAACCAGATAGACAAGTCTTTTATAGAAGGGACAGAGCTGAGGCAGCTCCAGTGCCATCGCTGATCTGTTATTCAGTATTTCATGCTGCTCTGCAAACGTAAGGGCCCATAACAACTGAATTATTCATGCAGTTTTATGTCAGGATGACTGATTCACAGGAAAATGACCACCAGAATCCAGAAGCTAGCCAGTGAATCAACAAAAAAAATTATGTTTCAATTTTATGTCTTCACTTTGTTTCATTTAGGATGAGTATTTTTTTTTAAGATGGGGCCTTTATGCATGTCATTGTGCACATGGAGAGAGGGCACCGGTAATGACTCATGTTTAGAAAAACATCCTTTTAATGGCTCTAAATGTTGGCTGAATTTCCGGATTAAAACATTTGCAGGGCACAATGTGCCTACTCTTTGAATAACGTGACACACTGTGCTTAGTTTGGCCTGTAGGAGTGCTGTGGGAATAAAATTCAGGCCTGGAAATCCTTACCCAGCCTCAGTGCTGGGTAAGGGTACTTTTGTAATCTGTGCATTATAGTTAGCCATCAACTCATGCAATTTTACCTTTGAGCTACAAATTTTATCTTGATATATTATTTCAATTGTTTAGAAAAATGTATAGAGCACACACAACGTTTTTGGTAAGCTACAGTACAGGCCAAAAGTTTGGACACACCTTCTCATTCAATGTGTTTTCTTTATTTTCATGACTATTTACATTGTAGATTCTCACTGAAGGCATCAAAACTATGAATGAACACATGTGGAGTTATGTACTTAACAAAAAAAGGTGAAATAACTGAAAACATGTTTTATATTCTAGTTTCTTCAAAATAGCCACCCTTTGCTCTGATTACTGCTTTGCACACTCTTGGCATTCTCTCCATGAGCTTCAAGAGGTAGTCACCTGAAATGGTTTCCACTTCACAGGTGTGCCTTATCAGGGTTAATTAGTGGAATTTCTTGCTTTATCAATGGGGTTGGGACCATCAGTTGTGTTGTGCAGAAGTCAGGTTAATACACAGCCGACAGCCCTATTGGACAACTGTTAAAATTCATATTATGGCAAGAACCAATCAGCTAACTAAAGAAAAACGAGTGGCCATCATTACTTTAAGAAATGAAGGTCAGTCAGTCCGGAAAATTGCAAAAACTTTAAATGTGTCCCCAAGTGGAGTCGCAAAAACCATCAAGCGCTACAACGAAACTGGCACACATGAGGACCGACCCAGGAAAGGAAGACCAAGAGTCACCTCTGCTTCTGAGGATAAGTTCATCCGAGTCACCAGCCTCAGAAATCGCAAGTTAACAGCAGCTCAGATCAGAGACCAGATGAATGCCACACAGAGTTCTAGCAGCAGACCCATCTCTAGAACAACTGTTAAGAGGAGACTGCGCCAATCAGGCCTTCATGGTCAAATAGCTGCTAGGAAACCACTGCTAAGGAGAGGCAACAAGCAGAAGAGATTTGTTTGGGCCAAGAAACACAAGGAATGGACATTAGACCAGTGGAAATCTGTGCTTTGGTCTGATGAGTCCAAATTTGAGATCTTTGGTTCCAACCGCTGTGTCTTTGTGAGACGCAGAAAAGGTGAACGGATAGATTCCACATGCCTGGTTCCCACTGTGAAGCATGGAGGAGGAGGTGTGATGGTGTGGGGGTGTTTTGCTGGTGACACTGTTGGGGATTTATTCAAAATTGAAGGCACACTGAACCAGCATGGCTACCACAGCATCCTGCAGCGACATGCCATCCCATCCGGTTTGCGTTTAGTTGGACGATCATTTATTTTTTAACAGGACAATGACCCCAAACACACCTCCAGGCTGTGTAAGGGCTATTTGACCAAGAAGGAGAGTGATGGAGTGCTGCGGCAGATGACCTGGCCTCCACAGTCACCGGACCTGAACCCAATCGAGATGGTTTGGGGTGAGCTGGACCGCAGAGTGAAGGCAAAGGGGCCAACAAGTGCTAAACACCTCTGGGAACTCCTTCAAGACTGTTGGAAAACCATTTCAGGTGACTACCTCTTGAAGCTCATGGAGAGAATGCCAAGAGTGTGCAAAGCAGTAATCAGAGCAAAGGGTGGCTATTTTGAAGAAACTAGAATATAAAACATGTTTTCAGTTATTTCACCTTTTTTTGTTAAGTACATAACTCCACATGTGTTCATTCATAGTTTTGATGCCTTCAGTGAGAATCTACAATGTAAATAGTCATGAAAATAAAGAAAACGCATTGAATGAGAAGGTGTGTCCAAACTTTTGGCCTGTACTGTATATTACTCCTAATTACTAGAGCGTTCAAAATCTGTTGCATCAAATACAAAAAAATATCTCAAATATCATTATTGTATTATTATTATTATGTAATGTGCAGGTAGAATAAGTTATATACTAACACAAGGGATATAATAAGACACAAGGCAGGATTCTGTATCATCATTTTAATCAGAGTTCATTCAGAGCAAGCGGAGAGCACAAGCACAATATCACAACATGTCTACAGCGGTATGACGTTATCATATCATCATTTCACTCTGGTCTGACGCCACACGCAGTCCAAACCAGGCAGCACATACAACGAGAGATATAGCACCAGGGTGTTGTGCATAGCAGCACGTCCAGTGGTAGGGTCAGACTTGATGCTAGCAGGCAGCAGGCTGTAAAGGTCATACACAAAAACCTCTCTCACTCACACTCGCACACACACACAGAAGCTAAAACTGGAAGCAGACTCACGGTGGGTAGTGCTCGACTGGGCTCTCACACACTGCAGCCACGTCAGCCGCTGAGGGTTTTAGGAAAAAAAAACACCCCGTGTCACGCTCACGATGAATTGATGTGATTTTGCGCATTTTCAGACAGCAGCATTTTTAAAGAGCTGAACTTCAAGTCCTGGCCCATTCCTTGTCCTTCAACACCTGGAGAGATCAGCCCATTCAGAGTGATACAGAGGCAAAGACGAGACATGAATTTGAATTTTAACAACCACTGAATACTTCACATTAACATTTAAACATTAAATCCATGGCTTTTGAACATTTTACTTTGAAAACCATATATCCAAATATATTTGTTCAGAATTCACCTCTTTGACACAACAATAAATTTATTGATAGGCAATTTCAAAAGCTTAATCTGAATGGCATCCGAGATGTAACTATTTGAATTTTGTCAACCTGAATTTTTAGACCTGATTGACCGATCAAATTTGAGCAACCTGAATCTATTTTTTTTATTTTTTATTTTAAATTGAAATTGCAGTTCAAGAAATTTCATATTGTAATTTTAAAGAGGTAAAGTCAGAACAAATACATTTAGATCCATGCTTTTCAAATTAGAATATTTCAATGCTATTAATTCAGTGTTTTTTTTAAGTTCAATGTTAAGTATTCAGTGGCTGTCAAAATATAAATATATATTATGTCTCTTATTTGCTTCCAGAGTGACATTTATTGAGTAAATACAAAGGGTTCTCCTTTTTCAGGCCTATATGCATATTTTTTTTCTTATTTAGCACAATTACGGCATCACAGCTCGGAGGAGAGGATGAAGTACACTGTCACAAAATACTGAGTCATCATAAAAACTGCAGTATTCCCATTAAATTGAAGAAGTGGATCTCTATTTAGATTGCAAGAAATATGTTTGTGTGTGAAACCATATTGCTGGTGTATTAAGTTTATAGCTCTAACCGCCACTAGACTATGATTTTATTTAGTGTTTAGTTTTTCGGTGTGACCAGAGTCTAATACTACACATGCATTATATTTGAAAAGGTCTTGCCCCTATACATTTATTGTTAATGGCTCAATTTACAAGCTAAAATGTGACTGTGACATATAGTCTGCTAAAATGTCGCTACTCAACCAAAAACAGGGTCCTGCATGCAAGCTGTAGCAATTATATTACAGTTCATTTGGTTCCTTAGCAACCAAACTGATAAGACCAGATATCATCCAGAACAATGAAATGAAAACCAGGACCATACAGCGGAGGCACTGTAACCAGGAAACGCAATCGTAAAACAGATTTTGCATGTCCACAAAACCTCTTATGTGATACAGTCTCAGAGACAAAAGTATCCCTTTGACATTTTCTACAATCATTTTAATGATGATCTGTCATCCATTCAAAGGTAGAAATGCCCTGTTATACACATACTCCATGTGTACTGATGGCTCTTTTTGATAGTTTGATGTCAAACTGAACTCATATAAACAAAGTGCAAATAATGTGCTCAATAATATAAAGCGGTTCTGTGCACCAAAATACAAGGAATCACACCTTCACACATTTACACACACACACACACACACACACACACACACACACTCTCACACACACATTTTACAGTGGAATTATTTGCATTATTCTAAAAGCTCAACATCAGTGCTCATTCAGAGGTGAACAATATATGACAGGACAGCAAAAACAACAGGTAAGGCAATAAACCAAAAGGAAGAAAGTTGCCTAATTTGTCAAGTCGCCTTCGATCACCACACAAAAGTGTAGAGATGAACTACTTTTACTGCTTCGCTTCGGCCAGTCTATTGCTGATCTCTTTGCTCTTCTTTGTGACGACTCCCTCTGGTTTGGGTTCTGGGGCGACCGGAGACGATTTCTTCTTGGTCGACTGGGAACTAGCAATCTGCTTCTCTTTTGATTTTTTCACCATCTTCGCTGTTGTTGTTGCTGGTGTCTTTTTTGGTTTGGAGCGAGACACTGGTTTATCCACCTGAAAGAGAAGAGAGGTGAGAACACTGAGATTAAATACATCAACAGTTAAATAAACTTAAACTGAGGTTGAAGCAATAGTTTGATATTTATGGTAAATGCACTTATTTACTTCCTTGCAAAGACTTAGACGAGAAGATTAATTTTATTCTCATGTCTGTCCATTAAATATGAAGTTACAGTGAGCAGTCAATTAGCTTAGCTTGGCTTAGCAAAAATAAACGATCTTGGAATCTATCGGCTATCAGTCTGAAGACGATAAGCCTCTGGGGTATATAGCCAACATTTCAGGAGATCCAGTGTAGCCAGTGGATATCCAGGCCAAAACTTCCTCTTGCGTGCGTTAGTCATTTTGGCTAACCTCTATAAACAGATAACTGCATATAAATGTGGATAAATAAATCTAAAAAGCTAATAAAAAGTAAAATCATCTTTAGATCTTTAGACAACGGGTTCTGAGGTAGCATTTCAGCCACTGCGTTCCAATCTTTTGTTCTCCACGTAGATTGTTTACCTAACACTCAAACATGATTGGACAGTACTACTTGGACTACAAACATTTTACAGATGGAAAGCAGAACAGGTCTGATACCAAAATCTTCTCCCATTGTGTACAGATTCTGTAAACATATGCAGTTATCTGTTTGTAGAGATGAATCAAGGGGCTAACGCCTCGTTTACGCTTATGTTTGTGACTGGTGTCCGTAGATCCGTCAACATACGGATGATGCCTTTAGTGTCCAACCCAACGAAGTGCATTTCTTTTCAAATGGATAGAAACCTGATAGAAACTTCCTGTAGCCATGGGTGAGAGGCTAATTTTGTCCATTTTTCACCATCCAGTAGTTCGGAATATATGTGCTTGGAAAAATACCGGGGCAGAAACAGGACCTGCCAGGTACGTGGAATGTTTTGTGAAATATTTAATTAAAAAGACGTGTGAATGGCTGAAGGAGTCATAATGACAATCTGACTGCATATAATGTAGAACCATATTTTAACAGGGTAACATGACTCCGATTCTAGAAACTAGATAAACAAGTTCTTTTTAATCATACAAACTCACTTAACGATCAGTATGGGCAACTGAATTGAAGAAAATAGCCTGTTGGCTAGTTAGCAGCCTGTTAGCTAAGCTAGCACACAGTCTCATACAGTCTCTCCGAAATCCACCGCAAAAGTTGAATTTTTTTAATGTAGACTACTTGCGCCAAATTCTGGACTGAAAAAATTATGGAGGGGCGGAGTTTCGCAGGCACATCGGATATCATGGAGATTCCCATAGAAATGAATGGACTTCTGGTTGCCTCGTCTTCGTACACATACGTAAGTGGAAACAAGGCGTAAGGCCCAGACACATCAGACCAACATTCAAGAACTAGTGGCTGACAGTTGTGTTGCCTCATGTCACCTGTGTCTAAGCGAAAAACTTGCACTTGAACACACCATAAAGACTACAGTCAATGGCCAACTAGCACATACGTTCTGTGCCTGTGTGAGACAAAATAACTCGCCATATCAGCAGGCGGTTGTAGTCTGTATGTCAATCAAGAAGGGAAATCAGAAAACCAGCTGGACAGATTGGAAATGCTAGTTGCTAGCTTCTAAGCACAATAGCAACAAAACCCTTTGTTGAACAAACAAAGGATATTTACTGTGCAGTAGCGAATAATAACACAATTACAAACGTATCTGTTATATCATATCAGTTAACTAATATAACAAGTTTGTTATGACCTCACACCCTCTTGACTTACGCCGTTTGTTTGCTTTTCTCACTTCCATTTCTCTTCTCAAGCACTGAGCTGAACAGCCAATTAGAGTGATTTGATTCATTAACGGGCTCCACTGTCTCAGACGCTGATTCAACATGCTGAATCGGCCAAGAAAAAGCCAACGAGGGCCAATGAGGGCCAAAGAGGGCCAAAGAGGGCCAACTAGTGCCAACTGTGCAGGGACACACCCCAAAAACTAGGGTGACAGAAGCTCACCAACGTCACAACATTAACCAGCGGCAACTGTCGGCCTTGCTGCGTTAGGGCCTTTATGTGCTGCAATACTCCTCGGCCTGGGAGCAGTGACTTGCTGGTTTCCAGTCTTTGTGCTAAGATATAAGCAGCTGCTGGCTGCTGAGTAACATTTAGCAACAGATATGAGAGTGGAATCGATCTTCTCATCGAACTCTCTGCAAGAAAGAAAACAGGCATATTTCCAAAAACATCAAACAATTCCTCTCAACCACACTTGCTTAATTCATGTCTAAGTCCTATGTTAGCATGCAATACGTACCTTTTTCATCCTGTTACTTAACATAATGACAGGCAAATGACACCATACGATATAGGTGATATTTGCATTATGTGGTTAGTGCAATGAAGACAAAAGAAAAAGAAACACAGCACAAAAGGTGTATTTGTGCCTTTCCTTTTATAGAACAGTGGTTCGTGCAGTTTTCCATCAAATTTTAAAGAAACCATAACATACAAAGTTAATGGTTTATGTTAGTATATGATGTTAGTCTATCATCTTAGAGAATGAAATATATTTGGTATCATTCAACTATTAATGTGGAAAAAACCTAGATGTTTAAGAAGCAGGCGTGTGACTGGAGGGTCGCTGGTTCAAAGTCCCATACCAACTGGGAAACTTAAGCAAGGCACTGAGCCTGTCTCTGCTCTTGTGGAGTTGCCACAACGATAAAACGCTGATGGATAAGCTCCCAGGCGTTCAATCTGTATAAATGAGTTGGTGTACAGCAAAAAAGTTGCAAACATGCTCAACTTTTGCTGAACAAATAAACCTTATAAGCTTATATATTGTAAGAGATGACAAATGTTTGTTAAGAGGCTGTTTCTGACAGTAAAGATGAAGGGCTCTATTTCTGTGAATAGAGGTTGTGGTGCGTAGGGCGTGGAAATACTTTCTGTACATTTTGTTGCCACAAACCTGTCGATCAAGGTGGAATTAGGATTATTATCAGTATATTCTTGATGCTGTGGACCTTGAAGAATAAAATTAGATCTTCCAGCCTGCGTCATACTGAGCTGCAAACTGCTACTACTCAAATCAAAAGCCAAAAGCATCAACTGCAAACAAGTGTTACCAACGCTCGATTGCCACTGGCATTGAAACACACACACCCCGCTGTGCCTCTCATCCCACTTGTATGCAGTAAAATTCATGGCGAGCCAATTGTGTGCAGACATCTGAGAAGTTATGATCCAAATATCATTTTGCCTGATTAAAGTTGCACCATTTGTCACCAAAATAGAGCCCTAAACAGCGAAGATCTGTTTAAATGCACACTAATCATGTCAAGAGGTTTTTGTCTTGTTGGTCTCCACTGATGCAATAAATCCTTCTCTTAGCTGTTACTTGTAAATATCACTTAAGCTTCTTTGTTTCTTCCATTTATCATGACTCCACCCTCTTGCAAAAACCCACAGAATTTTGCAGGATCAGTTTTTGAAACTATTAAGCTGCAGAAAAGGTGGTGGGTGGTGCAGGCTGAGGGGTGGGCATACAGTGAAGATGTGGCTGATACGTTTTTGCAGGGTTGCATCTGGCAGCCGGGTGACACATGTGACTGTGGCTCGCACTGGCCAAGGCACATACTGTGTGTATGTGTGTGTGTGTGCGTGTGTGTACAGTATGCACGTTTGCGTCTGATCAATTTGAGGTCAGCCTCCATGCCTTCTAGAAGAAGCAGAGAACACACCTGACTACAGCAGATTTAGAACAGAGCTGCTCTCAGTCTCTGAGACGTCCTACAAGAATGAGAGAGGGAGCGGCCATATGAACACACCACTATAGACACATTATCAACCAGTTGTTGTCTGAACTATCCAGAACATGCACGCAGATACCAACCTATGTTATCTTTAGATGAAGGCCTACTTTAATATGAGATGATGTCACTAGCTCCTATGATTCAGCATTGGGGTATTAACATATCCAAGTGATGCAATAAGTGTTTTCTGTACTGGTGTGTAACATTTTCAGTTACCTAGTTACTGTTTGCTAAGCTAAAATGTACACACACTGCCTATTTAAAGATTGTATTGGCTGATTTATAAGCATGGTGGAATATTATAACAATGACAATTGCTTATTGCAATTTCAAATGTTTCAAACAGGATGTCTACTGGTATCAGACATTTAAATGTAATGCTTTTTAAGACGTTTTAAAGATATTTTTTCATTAACTTTAAGAGTAATTTTTGGACAAATTACTACCTTATTTTATTATATAAGAATGTGGTTATTAGTATGAGTTAGGTTAATCTACATAAAGCCTAAAGGTAAGAGCAATTATAAAGTAAAAAGTATTAGCCTAGGTTTAATGGTTTGTAACATCAGAAATGTGGACTTTCAACCAGAAGAGCTTGACTTGTTTTGACAAGAATAATTTATAAAAATAAAAGGTGGATTAAAGCAATTATGTTCGTGGCAATTAAGACTACACAAATTCAAATTTAAGACTATTTAATGACCTTTAAGGCAAAACATTTATAGAATTGAAGTGTCAAGATTTTTCTTAACTCTTTACAACCTGAGCAAATTGGCTTGGTTTCTTTCAAAAACATGGGGAAAAGGCGATGAGCAATGAAAGAAGAAATGATGGCAAAAATTAGTAAAAAGAGAAAATTAAAAACAAGAAAATTAGTAAAAAAAAAAAACA